GTGTGTGTGTGTGTGTGTGTGTGTGTGTGTGTGTGTGTGTGTTGAACGATGTTGCTCACTGGTTGAGTGTGTTGTAGAATCCATGAAGTAAGGACAACTGTTTTTAGCTTCACAGTACAAATATAATTTTAAAAGGAATAAGCACCAAAAAGCTTTTAGATTCTTGGTTTATGAAGAAGAGTTTCACCCAGATGATGGTGTTCTGGATGAATCCTGCCTGGAAAAGGAGGAATCAGTATTCAATGATATGTTAAATGAATGAAAGTGTGGATACGCGTTACAAAGCAGCAATGTGGTTTAATCAGTCTTTAATCAGTTCGACACTTTATGCAGTCGTGATGTCAAAATGTTGCTGGTTTTTATTTAGAGTCAGAAACCAGCTGTTACATTTTGTGTCGTCAAATCATTCCTTTTCTGTCTGGAAAATAAAAACAAATCAGGAAAAGACTCGTCTCACTCGAGTGGAGCTACAGTGTTTGGATCTCTTCTACTACAGTTAGTATTTCTGACTAGATCCTGAGGAGTTTTTTTGTTAATACTAGTAATAATGCAGCTACAGCATTTGTTTTTGTAACCACTTGTTCAGTGAGGGAGGGGCAGCAGTGACGTTGTGAAGATATTCAGATATTTTTGCTGTGATTATATTATTATATTGAGAAACTGATGAACAGTAAACTCTTTGTCTGTGATCCTCTGATAACTATGCAGCTGTGGATTATCAACTTTGTAACAGGTTGTTTGAGCTCTGTCAGTAACGCCCTGATGGCTCGTTATTAGTCCACAGTTGTTGTGTTTTGTCGTTAGTCTGTGAGTCCACTGAAATGTGTCGGCTGTTGACAAAGAGCCGGGTGGTCTGCCTGATTAAATGGTAGGACTAAGATGACTCATTTCCTACAACATCTGAGTAGCATCTACTGTATGACCACTAGGTCTCTACATTCATGATAATTTGGCCTTTTGTCTTGTTCAGGGAACTATAGAGCCGTAAGTGTTTCTTTTYAAGATGTCGTGTACCGGGCGTCTATATTCATGTCAGTGAAGTGGATCGTTATTTAACCAAAGCCATACCTTCAAATCCTTTTCTGTCTTGTCTTCATTTTTCTTTTCAGTTTGAATGTCACTATTTATGAATAGTGAGATTCTTCAGTTCTCTGATTAAGAAAATAAAGTCTGTTTTGCTATCAAACTTATTCAG